AATGAATATTTCTTTACAATTAAAATATTAAAATATTTAATTAATAAATAAAAAATTATATAATTATTATATTATATAATTAATACATTTATAATTTTACCATTTAAATTATTATTATTAAAATGTTCATGGTTATATTATAATGTAAAAAAAATACATATGTATGAATTTTTTTTTAATGAAAGATTATATTTCTGTAGGTAGTTTTAAAATTATTTCGAATTGTTTTCATTTAAATTTTGACAATTTACACATACTGCTTATCCTGTATTACATGTCGAATACATAATAAAAATTACGAAAATATTGTATTTTTTAATGAAATTATTTAAACAAACGAGCAATAAAATTGATTGACTATAACTATCGATAACAAGAAATCATTATAATGGTTTTTTGAATTAAAAAAAATAATCACTGACATAAATAACGTAGAACAAAATAATTCCGAGTTTAGTCACACACGGTCTTTTTGACAGGTTTACAACTTCAAAAATACCAAAAAATTCAATAAACAATACATAATAATTTTAAGTAGCATTAAATAATAGCTTGACTTGGACGTTAAAGGTATTAAACTATTAAGTACGCACGAAATAATATGTAAATTACTTACAATGAGTAATTTGAAAAATTATAAATGCCCGGTCTTTTAGACAGCGATGCGACTAACGGAGGTTAATAATAAATAAATAATTCGATGATGCACTATTGTCATAGACCATATAAGGTCTATGACTATTGTGTATAATAATAATATCGTATTATATTTTAAACAACAATCAAAATATTTGACTTTCTTTATAAAAAAAATATTCTATTTAATAATTACCTCTCCGACTTTCCATGATTTTGTTACGTGAATCTTGTGAAAAATCGCTGTCCGTCAGTCAATGATAAAAATATGAATTCATAATAAAAGAAATAACATGAAAATATTAAAATACGTACATAATCGACATAATCGACAATAATTTTCTACTGATATATTATTATCACCACGTAACAAACATTACCGACTGGCGACTTGTTACATAAAATTAACTATTACTTACTAGTAATTTACTATTTTTTACTATTTTTATAGTTACTATAATATAAAAATAAACGTCAAATGTCTAAATTAAACATTAACTTGTAAACCGATTATTGGAGTATATAGAATAGACTATAATTATATAGTACTACACGACTCCATAATTTTATAACCAATTTTAAAAATAAATTTTATTATTATATTTATTGTGTAGTGTATACAATTTAAGAATATTCGTACATTTCTGATAGGTACGAGAGGTATAATAATAATCGTTCAGAAGGTGCGTAACATTTAAACGGAAAATTTCACAAATTTTAGGTATTTTAAAATGTATACTATACAAGGAATTTTAAAAAAAATCACTTTATTATTTTATATTATAATCCACATATTTACCTATGTACTTAATTATATTATAGTATTATATAAAACGTACAGATGTATACGTTTACATGTATAAATATATTATTTATACATTTATTTATAATGCCTAAATAATTATTAAAATGTACAATGTATACACATTTTTAATCAGTATTAGGACTTGCCCGACCCGTAATTTCGCATAATATGTTTTGTAAATTGTAATATATTACAGTATTTTTGGAAGCATATTTTGAGGATTATTTGTACATATAAATCCGGTCCCTAGTCACAAGTCGCAAGTTTTTCTATGTATACAAGTAAATAAAAAGTTTACCAGAGACACGTTAATATTTCATGAGCGTTTAAATTTAAAACGTTAATAAAAGTCATCGAAATCACGAAAATTTGAAAACTATTTTTATACAACAAAATTAACGATGACGTTTAATGTTTATGAAACGTTCAATTTGTACAGTTAAAATTTGAAATATTAATACGCGGGGCGGCACACGAGTGGTTCGTGTTCAAAAATCAAAAATTATTTATTACATCGAAAAGTCAGTCGCGAAACGACGTTCAATGAGCTCAGTTGTAACAACATTCAACGCGCATCAACCGTTTTATAACGCGAAATATCAGGATGCATGTAACAGGAATGTATGACGCGATGACGCTCGCTGAACGAGTTACTGCTGCGAGCCGCCGCCGTCGCCGCCGCTTCCGCTGTTTACGCCATCGCCGTGCGCCGCCGACGTAAAAACTGCAGAACGAATAGCGGGCTAGCTTATGCGACCCTGGTACCGCGGACCCCGTTTCGTCAACGCAAATCGTCATCGACCGACATTGAACATAATAATAATATTTAATTTTAATTTTCCGATTTATTTTGATCGCGCGGCCAACTATCGATTCCCAGGTCTGTTTCGAGTGTTTCGACATCTGTGTTCGGCTGAATGTTCGGCTAGGTTTGAACCATTTTAATTTTCCGACAAGTGTGTTATCACATCAAAAACCGACGATAAACGATACGAAGAAAAAAATACGTCTTTGTAAGAAAGATATAATATACATATATTTATATAATTAACTTTTGACAAAAATTTAATCAGTCGATATAGGAGAAATGGATAATCAAAGTAAAACCTAATAAACAGGCCACGGTGCACAGCGTGTATTAGTTAATATAGATAACATTCAATACTAATGAATAATGATGCACAGTTAAGATAATATTATGTAATTTCTAATCTAAAATAAAAATAGCAGGTTTTTTTTGTATCTATTTTTATTTTAGATTTTAGGTATCTTGAAAAATTTTATTTTAGTTTAATATATTCCATAGCGATACAAGTCATCAAAACACATAGATGTTTAGAGTTGTGTCGTTTTAACAGTATATGAAACGAAAAAAAAAAATTTTGTATGATGTTATTGTCTCAAAAAGCTAAATTTTTGACTTGTGTCATTAAAATCGCCAGGGAGCGATATATCGTTAGTCCGAGGTAGACAACTAGTAAGCTTATGTCAATTTTTCACTTACATTTTTTTTTTCTGTAGATTTGAAGCTTAATTTTTGATGATTTTTTTTTTTCTGTTCAATTGGCATTAAGTCAGTGACGAATAATAATCATAATTCATAATATTATTGAAGATATAAATAGAGCACAACAATCGTTTCTATGTTTGGTAGAAAAAGCGTAGGTACCATGATATTATGATAACATTGATAACTTGTGCCTTTCGTAGTGTAATTACTGTAATTATATCTCGTGTAAAAATGGCTTAAGTCAATAATAAAAGTTATAAATATTTTTTTGCTTTACCTACCTACAACTATAAAAATAATAAATGAATATACTATAATTATTGGTTATTAGTGTTATTACTTATTACTATATTCTATGTATATTAGACATTAGTGTACCTCATGTCATGGTGTACTTGTTCAGTAATATTTTTATCTAATAATTTATTTAATCAAAAAGACACAAGTCAAAATAAATAAAATCATACGTAAGAATTTTCAAACTTTGATATTGATGTCTCAAAAAATTGGTCAAATTGACTTAGGACCTTTCTACCCGGGACCAAAAATATTTATATATATTTAATTTAAATTAATAAGTTGATTAGTAGGTACCGATATTCAGTAAATTTAAAATTGTGTTAGTATTTTATATTTATTTTATTTCACAACTTATATTTCAGAACGGTTTAACTAACTTAATAAAATTTTAAAATTACACAAATTTACAACCATTAAATCAGTTCTGCAGAAGCTTTATCATTTTTAAAATTTTCAAATGAATGCTCATTCCATTTTTGAAACCTATTTTGATGGTGGTTTAGGTAATATAATTACAAAATTATAAATTTTATTTAAAAATATAAGAATATATGAAAAATTGCAATTAGAGTATCTTGCGAGTAACCAAATGTCATAATAGCAAATTTTTTAATTAACCTTAAATGTAGGAAATTATTGGTATATGGTCAATATGGGTAAAAATATAATATAATATATTCACTTCTACTAGATAACATAGTATATTACAAACGTCAGACGGTATACTTAAAAATAACTAATAATAATAAAAATAATAACTATGCTTATATAATAAAAATTTCAAAATATTATTAGATAATAGACATACTTGGTTTAATGTGAACAATGGATTAATATTTAAGTGATTTAAATCAATAATAAAACTAAAAACATTTTAAACTACTATTTTCTGTTAAAATGTTATAAATTACAACATTTTATTAGATAATTTTTTTATTTTTCATAGTTACAAGTAGTAACATGTCTAATATATTATACCGCTGCTCTCAATTTTTTTAATTTTTTTTTTTTTATTGTTTAAATTTATGTTTATTAGTTAGTTAAAAATAATGGTGTAAAAAAATTAGTGAAAACCTTTAATTTTTAAGATATTGCCTTCTAAAGTACTAAAGTTTGCGATTTTACGTTTATTCTATAGGTACCTATAATAATGCTGAAGTCAGTGTGTAAAAATGAAATTCAACAATATAGAGTATTTAATTTTATATTTTTTATTAGAACCTATATGTAATTAATAATAAATATTGGTTGTAATTTAGAAGAAATTTTGATTGTGGAACACAACTAGTTTCTATCTAAACATGTTAGGACTGTAAATTAAAAAAGACAATTTGTGGTAATGCTCATTTTGCGGCCATTTGACAAATCTGGTGGGTTAATAATAATTATGGTATATATATTTTAATTTTTATTCATACTACATTACAATAGGTAACAGCTTAAACCAAATTATGTCTTTGTTGTAAGTGGTTAAGTTTTAATAAAAATGTGAAGCTACCGGTACTTTATCGTATACCCGAGGGATCATATTCCAAATACGCCATTGTACTTGGTATCAACGATTGCAAAAATCGTTTATAATATTATTTATAGATAATTTATATAAATAGGGCGAATAATGTGTCTGTCCGTGCAGACGCCTGACGTGCAGTTGCTTATTAGTGCCGGCCGGCGCATGCAGTTTGCGTTAAATAATATTATTGCCGCCAAAATAAACCTAAGCTAACGTAAGTAATTGATAATGATTAATGAACAATGACTTCCGAAATATTTATACGGAACCGGCTTTGTCGATATTACTAAGCCGTTATCAGTACCGCGGTTGTAGGGTTTTTTTTTCTAAAGTAGTTTATCTATTTAGTGTCTTAATACTTTACTTAACTATTAAATAATTAGGAAGTCGACCGTCGTACGTGTCCTGTCCGATTTTGGAAGTGCTTCCTTACGTCCTGCGCAGCCTCGACCGCTATGCAGAAACACAACGGTAATAATGCAAATTATTATTCTCGGTGGAGAAACGTGCCGAAGAACCAGCAACAGATACGACGCCATAAAACACGTGATCAGAACGTCGAAGAAGCCGACGACAGCGCCGACGTCATGAATCCTACTTCTAACACCAAAGCGTACTTCGATGTGGTCCAACCCACCGAGTTATCCGTGTTTTCCGATCAGAACTTGTACGATGAATCAAAATCGTCCGTGTCGAGAAATTCGCCTTTGAATTCCAACTCGATTTCGGAAACGGTAGATGCCAAAAACGGCAAATACTTTTTCGCGGACAAGACGAATTGGCGCGACAAAAATGTCGGACAACATCAGTCAAATTATTATTCTCAGTCTAACAAGTTCAACAATAAAAAATACCCAAACAAATATCGAAAAAATAGAAACAATGCCCCATCAAAATTTCAAGAATTTATTTCAACGAACAATGTTAATCATAATACATTCATTGAAAATGACCAGTTGGGTACTAAAAATGACTATTCTTATGAAAAGCCAGCTATTGAACCAGCCTTAAATCAAAATACTCTGTTTAATAATACTTTCCTGAACACATATCAAAATTCTGAGTATGATTCAGAATGTGATTCTGACCCTGGTGATTTAGAGAAGATGAAAATAATGACAGCTGCAGACTTTAATGATGATCGTTATGCTCGCTATGGGATACATGAGACAGAAATCAAAGACTATGTACGCACTATTACTTTCAAAAATTGTATAGAATATTGTGCAAAAGAATATATTAAGGTAAATATAAATTATTATCTTGTCAGTCTAAATAAAAATTTGAATTACAATAATAATAATAATAATAATTATAATTATAATTATTTATAATATATTATAATAATATTATTATTATTATTATTATTTATTATTATTATTTTTTTTTTTTTTATAATTATTTGATTTTAATAAAAATTGGAAAACTTCTTAATTTTAGGTAGGTAGGTAACTAATATTGGCTGATATGAAATTTATCAGTGTTATCTATAACAACAGCCAAGGACCTTAAAATATATCATTTTAACCACTTGTTATTATTCCCAAAGCCAAAATTGATTTTATTTATTTGATTGTTATTACAAAATAGTAAAAATAAAAATATATGTGTTTTCTAAAAAAGAATATTAAATTTCAAGATAATTATTTTTTTAATATTTCTTGTTTCATGGATTATATATTCACTTTGTTTTAAATTAATTTTTCAGGATAAAGTGGTATTAGTTATCCGTTGTGGTATTGGCTTATTACCATTGTTATGTGCTCGGGATGGACAAGCCAAAAAAGTAATTGCTTTAGAACAATCATCTTGTATTGAATATGCTCGTCGTATCATCACAGACAATCGATATAGCACTGTGATTACATTAATTCAAAGCAGTGTAAGAAAAATGTCATTACTTTTAAACTAATAATTACTAGTATTATACATTTTAGTATATTAAATATATATGTGTTACAACTTTTCTTACTGGATTCTATTTAAATAATTTTGTGTTTAAAGGTTCATGACTTGAAGCAGCTGCCACACAGACTTAAGAAGGTAGATGTTATAGTAGGTGATTTTTTGGGAGACTGTGTTATAAGTCAAGGTGATCAAATGGAACAAGTTATTGAAGCCAGGGATCGTTTTCTTGTTTCAAATGGTTTGTATGAATACATAAATAATTTACTAGTTATTTATTTCTGTATTCAGTTTTGTTATTTTAATCCTCATTCTTGTCTAGGCTTAATGATTCCAATGTGTGTTACTTTATATGGTCAGTTATTAGAACAAAGACGAATCTATGGAAATTGTCGTATTCGCAAAAAAACTAAAAAAAAAGCATATAAAAAATTGAATAAACGCTTTAATATAAACAAGTCCAACAAATCTGAAACTCAGTCTAATGATAGTGACAGTTCATCAGATTCAACATTGTGTTCATGGTGGAGTAATGTTTATGGATTTGATATGAGATCATATTCAGAAATTACAGTTGATTGTAGTTCTGAAAGTGTTGACTGTCCTAAATCATTCAAAGATGAGTGGCGAATAATGGAAGAACCTATAGTTACATTTTTTGATCCATCCAAGGTAAATAATTAATATTTATTTATTTTCATAAAATATGACTTAATATTATTTTACAAAATATTTTCTTTTAAACACAATAATTGTATAGTATTTATTTGTATTATAAATGTTATTGCTTTAAAATTATTTTTCTATTTAACTGTTAATGTATTTGTATGTTTATATATATGATATACATAAAAATTAAAAGATAGGTATATCAATAAAATCAAATAACATTAAGTACTAAATAATAAAATGTTGAACCCATTGACCATTTAAAATTATTTTACTTTATTTATTATAAAATGTTCATAATTTGTTTAAAAGTTAAAATACCGTAAAAAGCCTATGTAGACTTAAAATTTTATTTTTAAATTTTATAATAGTCCAATTTACTTTTGATATTTAAAATAAAAAAAGTAAAAAAAAACATGGTTTCTTTCATGCATAAATGTACTATATTATGCATTTTTATTAAGCTGAAGGATGCTTGAGAAAACTTCATCCTCTTGTTAATACATTTTTATGTTCAAAATTTACCTTTTATAAATAAAATACTGTAAATTTTATTTTCATTAATATATCTATACAACAAAAAAAATGTAAGAGTTTTTATATTTTTGCTTATAAAAAACTATATTCTGTAAAGTTTCAAGTATTTATTTTAAAAAAGATGAATCGTATCCAAATATAAATTGTAAATAGTACAATGTATTGTAATTTTTTTTACCTATATAATTTTAAATGATTTCCTTTTAATCTGATACTATTTTTAAAAAAATTTCAGGTAGTGTCTAATGCTTGCTTGATAAAGAAATTTGATATGTATAAGTGTACAATAAACGAAGTACGCTATGTACATAGTAAAGACTTAAGTCTGAAGTGTTCTACACCTTATACGAGTGCTAATGGAGGTGACTATGCACATATGTTAGAGTTGTTTATGGTAGTTGATTTTCCTAATGGTCAAACAATTGTTGATGATAAGGGTAATTATTTTTTTAACATAATTGTAGATACTTTCTAAGTAAATTATCAACCTTTATTCCTTGTTATTTTACTGCAATTCTATTTCAATACTGTCTTTAAATTTGTTTAAACTTAATTGTTTAAATTATTATGTTTATGTTTATAGATGATCTACAAATAGGATTTTCCACATCATCTTATTCACCATTTACTAGATTTAGACAGACAGGTTTATTGTTACGGGACCAGCTACTTGTTGAACAAGGAGACAAGTTTAAAATTAATGAATTTTATATGTGGCGTGGTCCTCAACAAAAACAAAAATTAGTTGGAGAAAACATTATCACCAAAAGTACTCGTAATAGATATGGACCAGAAGAAAATTTAAAGTTAAGGTTAAACTATACATTTATCAACCAACATATAAAAGCGATTAATAGACATTGTGCTTACACTTTAGTCAAGCAATTATTTTAAGATTTATGTTAAAGGTTTTTAAATACTATTAATGTTAATTTGGTTTACCAAAATAGTAAAAATATTCATTGTTTATTATATTTTGTTAAAATATTTCATGAATAGTTGCTAATAAGTATTAAAATCAACTCTTAAAGAATAGAGTTATTTAAAAGAAACATTACAATTTAACATTAAAGGCAAATTTTAAAACAAACTAATTTTATTTATTCTTTCATGCTTGTTGAAATAATCTGACTGGCAATCATAAATAATAACATTTAATTATTAAATAACTATACAGCAGTATTTTATATTCATAAATTACAAATTAAAAAATTTGTCAGATAGGATTCTGTAATGACCTGAATTTGGATCACGCTTTTGTCTCCGCTCTCACATTAGTTATCTTGGTATGTAAATAAATAAATAATAATTAAGCTCCATGTGTGCAATATATATGAAAATAAATTTATTTTGATTTGATCTTTAAAAATATATCTCTAACACCATATTAAACTATTTTAACTGTACTGGATGAAATATAGAGTTAAAATGCAAAAAAACTTTGACACATTTATGATAAAATAATTCTTAGGCTAATATCAATTACTGTGCACCACAGGTGTCTAAAATGTAGAGTAGAATTCAGAAATATGCAAAATCTTAAATGTTATGACAACAGTGTATACGCACAAGTCCAAATTTGTTTATATGTAAGAATTTAGTAAAGACTTTTACACTTATAAATTTCTCTCTAAAAAAAAAAATAGGATCATATTACTACAAACATGATTAAAAATATTCAAATTTTAAATAGCTAAAAAATATAACATACTTATAAAAGTGTAAACAATTAAAAAAAGTAAAGTTTATATTATTCAATGTACAACTTGTTAAGTTAAAAATATACTTGGCCGATTTTATTCAGAACTGAATCATAAAAATAGATGAAATAATTAAATTATGTATGTTACTTAGTTATTACTTACATATTACATAAAATTACTAAATTGTTCATAGAAATAATTTATTAATAGAAATATTATGGCAAAGATACAAACATTTTTAGATGTATTCTAATAGTATTTCACATCAATACTAATAATTATTAATAATTGATTTGTTTTGTGCGCTATATTAGTTACTATTTAGTTATTTTATTACTATTTTTTATTGAAAAATCATTATGTATAAATCCCTATACTTCTAAGTTATAAAAACTACGAATGTTTTTATATACTAGAAACTGATGCTGAAGTATATGAGCATTGCTGATTTTATTAAGTAATTTATTCAAGTATAGCTTCAGTATCATTATTTTTTTTTTTTATTATTTAAATTTTTTTTTCAACTTTTTTAAACTTACTATATACTTTATTCACATATTAAAAATCTAGATACATTAAGATTTTTCATGACTGACTATTTATGGAGGTATTAAAATTCAGTGTAGAAAATACCACAGCAGCACAACAATTTTAGGTTATGCTATACCTGAAAATTGTTAGACTATCTATGAAGTACTGAAAAGTATCTTAAACTATAAAAAGTCATCTTAATTTAGTAATAACTTTTTATTCACCGTTAAACTATAATAAATACTTGAACATATAATAATTACTATAATTAATTATAATTAATTTTAAAATTTTATAATTAACATGCAACCAATTAATTTAATAGTTAATCTTTGTAGAAAATGTATAAAAACAATACAAAATACAGTATTAAACTCATCTTAAAAATCAATATAAAATAAAGATAACTAATAATATAAAAAAATTAAAGTAAAATACTCTGGTGTGTTATAGTTATAATGACTAAGAAAAAAAAAAGATTCAAAATAGTTAATAACATTTAACAATGTTTTTACTTTGTTAAATCAAATGTTTGAAAAAATTAAATTACTCGCTGTTTAATAATTATAAATTCTTGAACATATTATAATAATTAACTTTAATAGAAAGTGATAGGTAATGACTTAAGTTATCACAAAACCTTTAAGTGGTGGTTTGTGAGCATGTACTCTTAGGTTTTAATTATTGATTATAAATTTAGTTTATTTTTAATGTTGTGTAGTAAGGGTGTAAATTTTGTTTAAACTGTTTTTGAAATTTATTTTCTAGAAAAATTTAACTTGGGAAACTGATTATAAAAGATAATAATTATTACAATTGAGGAAAAATTAAAGTATAAAACTTAATGAAAAATATAAATAATCATAATACTTTGTTATAAAACTTAATAATAATAGTTACAAAGACAATATTATGATTACTAAAAAACGTTCAAAATTTCAAATGACCAAAAAAAAAACATATATAATAAAACCATTAAAAAAAATACATTTATTGATTATAATATATTACTTATATTATTTATTTTTAACTAAAAGTTTTTAATGTATACTAGAATAATTACACTTATTTTCTATTTTTTTTTTTTTTAAATAATTTAATTTAACTAAATATTATTACAACTGATAAAATACAAATGAGTGTCAATTATCTATATTAATTGAGATCGAGGGGGATGTAGATAAACAAACAATGAATAAAATATACAATGAACATGAATTTAAACGTTTTATATTGTAAAAAATAAAGTTAATGTATTGTACTCGTATGTATAATATGTAAATATAGTACAGTAAAATAAATAAATATGTAATTTTTAAATTCATGATAAAATTAATTTAAATTTAGAATCTAAAAACATAAAGTAAAACATGTAAAAGTCTATAGTGAGGATAATCACGCACCACTGTAATAATATAAAATTTCTAGAGCTAATTTATGGTGTTTTAACTAATTTGATTGTTATAATCATGAAGTAATTTAAATATAAGAAAAAAGGTAAGATGAATTTAGTTCACAATATTTATAAAAAATAATGCTTTAGGTTGGATTGAAAAATTTATTTTTAGTATTTCGCCATTTCAGCAATATGTTAATATGCTCAGACTCTAATTAATTAAAATTAGCTTTGTCTTTTACAGCAGTGTCAAAGTAATCAATTAATATTTACGGATACATTTTATATTAAAAATGAGTGTGCTCAATTAAAATTTATGTAAAGTATTCTGACTAGTGGCATGGTTAACTTTACTTGTAGATGTTATCACTTGCTATTTTTTACCTTGGTATTATTACCTCAAAACAATGAAGCATAATTATTCGATATGTTAGCAAATTAAATTCTTTCATAGAACAGGCCAACTAAGAAATTAGTTCATTTTTCGAAGTAAAATATACTTTTGTATTTATGTTTACTCAAATAAAACATTAATAAATTACAAAATTAATTTATACTTTTCTAAATTTTGCAATTAAATCATTTTGTCTTACCATCATAGTTGATTGTACTGAAATGTACTTATCATAAACATTTCTTTTAATATTTGATTTTGCACAGTAATAAATGTCAAGGTTGTCAATTGCTAAATTTACAGGTTTGAAATAAATAATAAATATTAAAAAATTTTTGGAAATTTAATGAATATTGTGATGGATATAAATGAATAATTTATTGTTAAATGAATTTTCAAATTTTGATACACAGTAATTTTAAATATAATTAGAAGTTAAAGACTATATTCATACCATTTAGGAAGTTTCATGTGGTGACAAAGCTTCTTTTTTCAAATGAAAATCCTTTTTTTTTATACTGTATATTTATTTCTGATTCTTATTTGAAAATGTTGATTTTTATTAATGTCAAAATCATTATTAATTATTGACTTAATAATTAAAACTAAAAAAGGTAGTTCTCATTTGAGTAAAAGACAATTTTATTGCCATAGAAAATCCTTTAAAAATTTTAAAAATATATAAATAATTGAATTATTATCTTTTGTTTGGGTACTTAAAAAATTCCTTATATTAAATTTAAATATAACATAATTAAAAAATAAAATAAAAGTGAGCATACTTAATAAATTAAGAATAATATATAAGTTTAAGAACTTACTTAAAAGAATACATAAAATCTGTAAATGGATCAATTTTGCGATTCTCTGCATACTTACACAATTATTATATATCCATCATAAATATGATGTGAAATGTTTCCTAGAATTTTAAGAATGGGATTTTTAATCTATAAGTATTATTACCATATAATTAAAAATTAATTTAATAATAATTAATGAAATGAGACAAGGTAGACTAAAGAAGTTCAATTAAAGAAGCTACATAGAAATATTTTTTTATGGTTCAACTACGTAATTCAATGTTTCATGCTTTAAAGTAAAATGTGTACAACTTGTGCATAGTTAGTACTAATTCATATCACAAATATAAAGCTGAGATAAATATATTTAAAAAAAATTATAATTTATTAACTTAAAATATAAATGAAGCAACAACATTTTTAATTTATAATTGATAAATGTTATTTAGGAACAACAAATTGTCATGTTATTAACTATTTCTAAAAAAATGCGTAATAATAATATGTATAATATTTTTTTTTGGAAATAATAATCAATAATATAGAGTATAAAATATAACAAGTGTTTTTTTCACCAAATATTAACTATAAATATTTACATTTTTTACTGTCATAAATTTACTAAGCAAAATAATACTTGGAGTACTAAAAAATATACAAAAAGAATTCCGGATGAGTATCTTAAATATTGAAAATACGTAAAGCTTTTAAAAGCGAATTGGAATGATACAGGAATACCAGGCAAAACATTAGCCAACTACTCTGATTATCTAAACATCAATTGTTATTAAAATATTTAAATTATTTTCCAAAATTTTATTTATGTACTACTGCAAAGAATATTTTGCTTCAGAATATGAAATTAAAAATGTTATCATTCAAAAATGAATAAAACTTTAAAATAATGTTAATTTGTAACATCATAAAATTATATAAAAAAATATTTTTAAATCATTCACAGATTTTCAAAAAATTAAATGAATCATATTATGGTATACATCATAAACATGAAAAAATTTTAATTAGATAAAATACTAATAAACAATCAAGACACCTTTAATATATATAACCTTTTCAGCTTTTAGCAGTGAAATGGCTTTAGTCAGAGGTAATAAATATTCTTAATATTATAACACTTATGATTAAATATTAAGTATTCAACAAATTTATATATATTCTATTTTACCACAAGCAAATAGTTATACTCATTTGTTATGTCTAACTAACATATAACATAATTAAATTGATATGCAGAAGAATACTGTATATACTCTATACTAAGTTATTTTTAATACTTAAGTACATTTACAAATCATCAACTTTAAAGGAATGAACATTACTTTGTCTTTTGATTTTAATTTTTTAATAAAAATTATGAACATTTTTAAATTAACAATATATTATGCAAGGAGGACATAAAATGTAGGTATAACATTCTCATAAGGTTAAATTAAGAGACAATAAAATAATATTAAGTAGGTATGGCTTTTGGTTAAATAATATTAAAATGGATGAAATGCATACAATAACTAAAAAAAAATAAAAAAAAAAATGTTTTAACATAGTCAATCATAAGGAATTATATTTTAATCAAGTCAAAATAAAATCATCATATTAATAATACAATATTCATAAATACATAATGAGCTATGTAATGTAATATAATTGTTTCAGAGATTAAAATTATAAATTAATATTTTAAAATTTAGTACACATTTTTAACTTAAGAACTACTAATTTATTGCTAATTTTGATAATATTCTTGATGAAATCATAAACAAAATATTATTCAAACTATTAAAAATTTTAATACTATAGTTTTAAGTTTTTTACATCATAAAAATAACATAACATTATCAACATTTCTAAACTTGGCACCAAAAAATAAAAATTGAAGTTTATTGGAAACTTATATTGCCAATAAATTCAGACTATTAAATGAATAAAAACAATAGATAAAATGAAGCCCTCATAAAGTGCTTACTATTGTAGTTCATTGAATGGTAAAATAATAATTATAATAAAAACATACTCTTACATACTCTTCATAATCATGCTAATAAAAGCCAAACAATAAATATTACTGCAATCCATAAGAAAAGTTTTGATAAGTATTGATCATCTTGATGTAGTTGATTACCAACTTGAATTAATTAAATTTATTATTAACATTAGAACTCAAAAATATAACTTTATGAACTTACTTCCATGTGGATGATCAGTTAAGTTAAACGAAGTTAAAAATCCAAAAGGAAATGCTCTTATTCCAAATGATAAATGGAAACCACCATCTCCAAAAGTAAAACCAGGGAAACCCTGAAAGAATTAAAACCACTTTTATATGAGAAATAAAAATTATATTAGTTCATATTTTACAGAATTAGGTTCAGGTTCAGTTCTTTGACCAGCAGGCCTAGGTGGCACTTTATTTCTGAAACAAAAATATATTTAATAGTAAATACTGAGTTAATAATCATTATTTAAAAAAAATTAAGTGCCTAGTAACATGTTGACATTAAAACATTCTATTGTGAACACTCCTATATATTATAGTTAACTTAAAAATTGTAAGTACTAACATGTATTAAAAATATAATGAAAATTATTTGTGATAAGTAAAGTTAAGATTTTAATAACTTAAAAAAATACACAAAAATGCACTAAAAAAATGCAAATATTATCTAAAAACTCTAAAAAATATACTTGGATGAGTAAAAAAAATTAATTTTAAAATAATAATTATTATTCATTTTTTATATTATACAAAATAGGTAAAAATTTGTTTTAAGAAGTAAATAAAATAAATATGTTCAAATTTAAGTTGACAAATAATTATATTACTTTTTCAATTTTTCAATATCAATGGACTGGAGCAGGTAATTGAGATTACCTATACTAGGGGCAGCCAAATAGTCGATCGCAAACGATTTCAGAGTCGATCATGTTAGAATTTATTTTTAGGCTACACACATAAAAATTAATTATGGTGGTAAAATAACTTAATAATAAAAAATCTTTTTTTTCGAAGTCCGATCTTTAAAGGTAAAATATATTTTTAGTAGATTACAGCCAAAAAAAGTTTGGCCATCTCTGACCTATGCAACACGTATTAAAAAAAAACTTAAAACAAACAAAAATTAGTTTAAATAAACAAAATTAATATAATATCTGTAAAAAAAAAAAAAAAAAATGCAATAAAATGCAAAATAAAAATTACACATTCTAAATTATTAAATAACAAAACAAATTTAGCTTTTGGTTAGAACTGTATAGCACTCAAAGTAAAAAAATGTAAGTCATCAAAATCCTATCTTTAGGAATCAGTATTATCTAATATATAGTATATTACTGTTTCAGGTATTGTAAATAAAAAAAAATTAATAATCTTGAAGTAATTAAAAAAATATAATAATTTAAAAATTTTTTATAATGAATATATATTATTTTCAATCTTAACTTGTCACAATTTATTTTCAATGATTGAAATATATTTACTGCATTTAAATTTACCTGGGATCTTGTTTGGAATTTCCATGTCCATAAATTGGTATTACTTTATCTTTACTAATAACAGATTTACATACTGGGCATACTTGACGACTTGATCGAGTTTCTAACCATTGATGCAAACATGGCCAGCTGTAACAAATATTTTATGGTTTGAACAAAATAATATTACTAACATTTAATTAAATTACTGATTAATAATTAGTAATTAATTAATAATAAGACAAACCTTATAAAAGTTAATAAATCACCTAAATATGAATGTAAACAAGATTTTCTAGGTTTTAGCAAGTATATTAGCAAAATTTTAACATTTAAGTTAAGGTTGAAAATATGAATTCTAATTAACAAATACAGTTAAATATTTTGTAGTTATATTTCATAAAATATTTTGTACTTTTGTATTTACCTATTCACAAACATCATTGATAATAAATAATAATCATTAGGTATTCTTAGGAAAATATGTTGAATCTGTAGTTAATCATAATAGAAAATATCTTAGTCAATAATATGAAATGATAAACAATTTTGGATATTATTATATCAGTTATATGATCAATTATTCTAGTGACTAGTTATTTTCTTTGATTCATTTATAGTTCTAATCAGTACTTATTTTTATAATATGATTAAAACTATAAAATCCAATTTTAAATAAGTCTTTTTGTTAAATATTTCCTTTTTTTTATATATATATTTTTAAAAAAAATAACAAAATAAATACTAAGGTAGTTTGAGTGTTAAATAAAAATTCACACCCTAATTAACTATTAATAATTCATGACTTTAACTATATTATTTTAATAAAAAAAATAGTAAAAATAAAATGTTTAATTTTATTCATAACATAAACTGATAAATTAATTTGTTATTATAGTTTTTATTTAGCAACGATACTAACCAAAATAAATGGCCACAAACACTAACAACCGCGTCTTTTGCATTATCCAAGCATATGTTACACTCAAAGATGTTATTCTGTTCTTCTTTGTTATCATTTTCTTCATTGTTCATGTTTTTTCGCGAAGCATCAGACTCGTCAGTAATGGTAGCCATTGCGTCTTAACACGTTTAAAAACACACCATTGATATCAAAATATTCAAATATAATAACATTAAAACATCAAAGCAATGTAAATAGTATTTTATTCTGAAAAACACACAAATCATAAACACACACTAACAAACAGATTTCAAACAATTAACATCAAAGGTATGATAATTTGATAATTGTTTGTGATTGACATACACAACATGCATAAATATGGTTTCAATTGTACAATTAAAGCACACCTACACACACATCAGGACGCTCTACATTATCAACAAAAAATAATGTTTTGATGTTGTTTCTGTTTTTGACTTACGAGTTATGGCGCTAAAACACTTATTTGCACAGAATGTTCTTCTTACGCTCGAAAATGATTTTTTCAGTGATTATGAGTAAAATATGGCTTATGTCGAACACGAACTCTCCAGTCTCCGATAACGACTCGCGAATCACAATAATTGTAGTAATGACCAAAAAAAAATGGAAAAAAAAAATAAAAAAATATTTTGTAATATTCGATAATTTGATAGTGTTTACTGCTCGCCGCTCAGTAGTGCTCACAGTAGGTACCAATGGGCAATCATACACATCAGCCGGTAGGCATCAGCGCTCGACGGTTAAAAACCGCGATTTATGATAACTAACCAATAAAATAAATAACGATATTATAACCACATTAATATTATACTTAACTAAAAATTAAATTGTGGCATTGCACCTTTCACCAAAACAAAATAAGCGGTTTATATCACTACTAATACTGTTCACACTAGAGTTGAAAAAAATCGTTTGTATCAGCATAATATTATGTTATAAATCACGGTGGAGGAAAATATAAAAAGCGTTTAACTCGAAATAAACAACTTACGTAATACGTGTCGTCTAGCATCCAAGGCGAGAAGGTCTCATTTCAATATCGGTCGGTAAATCGCTCGTCGCGAAACTTCTAGAACCGATACGTATCTTTGCACTAAAATTTCTTCCTTGAAGATTTTGAACACTTCTACACTACTTTATCACCCGGTCGCCGAATTTAATTTCGTTTGAATTTTTATTGTCTATCTATTATAAATTATAAATTATAATATCATTAATTATTCTCCTACGATACGTTCGGGTTAACTTATCGACTTATTTATGCAAAAAGACACTTTTCGAATATAAATTGCTAATATATCGGTTGACAACGTTACCAATTCTGAGCGGAACAATGAATGCATAATTGATTTTACAATGAACCATGAAGTGTGTGTGTGTGTGTTTTTTTTAATTTCATTTTTAATTTGTACATTGAAATTTGAAATGATCAATCAATATTCAATATATGTTTTTAGATATAAGGAAAATTATCCATAAACGTAATATGTTGGTAATATAAATCTATTTTGATTCTCTGTAAACATTTTTAGCTGACGATCTGTTTACGTATAAGTTATTTTTATGATTACATTGCATAATAATATGCAAATAATATGGTTCTCGAATCACCAGCAGTGTTGTAGGCTCGTGAACTGTAGTCTTGATGGTTCACGGACCACAAGCTTACCACACGATTTAAAAACAAATATTCATTAATAATTTAAAAAAATAAACAACCGTCAGTCTAGTACCTAGAAGATAATATGACCATTTCATATAACATGTTTTCACCAATTTATTCCGCCGCGTATATCTGTACAATATCTAAAAAAAAAAAAAATTGTTTACTCCATAATTGTTGTATCAATAATATAAACATTGCATTACAACATTCGAATAGTACAAATCTATTTATTATTTATTGAGTAGGTGATTAAAGCAAATAGATAAAATATTGAATATAATTGTTATATTCATAAAATTATGGTATAAACGCGACGTTTTTCGTCATGTAAAATTAGGAGTTTGAGTTTTTATGATTACGCCAAGATGCGTCCGTCAAAACGCAAGCCGACCGGCGTTTTCCGCTGCGGGGGAAAACGCGACGTAACACGTTCGTCGTGTATAGCTACTTCGATAAAAAACGATGAATCTTGTGTTCGATGGAAAACGCCGTGATAGCCCCCTGCCTATATAATGCGAACTACGTATACGTTCGTACGCGCTCTATATAGATTTTATTTATAATGATTTTACGTTGCGAAAATTCCTATATATTTTTTACAGCACAAAAATATTAATTATTGCATTTTCATCAAACTTTGATAAAAATACGTTAAATATGCACAATAAAATAAAAACTAAAACGCAAAAAATATGCCAAATAGTAAAAAAAAACCTTTATTTATGCAAAATAAAACTTCACATACTCAAATACAGTACCTTGAAACAAGGCCGCCCGCAGGGGGAGGGCCGGGGAGGGCTACGGCCCCCCGCTAATTAAGATATTACCTAATTTTTATTGCATTTATTTTTCATTTTATATAGCAGTCTTGGAGGGCGATAAGGAGGACTGATAACTGATAAGATGACAAAATTGTTCTTCAGTTTTTAATATCACGGCGTGTTCAATTTTTATTAGACGATAATAATCAACGAGTCATAATTATTTATTATTAATTATTTTTTTTCATTTTTATTATACAAGCTTATTCAGTGGCGTATTTTGAATGTTTTTTGGAGGGGTGTACAGATAATTTAAGTATAAACTTTTTGTTAATTGGTTGCAATATATCTCTGTTTTAATGTTTTAAATCTACTACCACTAAGCTCATAATATACTCATAAAATATTGTAATGAAATATTTTTTATTTATTTAATTAAAAGTAGACATTTTTATGTAATTTAAATCATACAGGTATAAAATACCTACTGTAAACATAATTTGAATTAAAAAATAAAAGCAAATAATAATATGTTTTAAAATAAATAATAAATATAGATATTTAAGATCCAATGTATTTATATATTAAAATAAAAAACATCATTGTAATTAATATCTAAATATACACAAATTTCCGCTGGAAAAACAAGTAACACAGACACATAAAGGCACGGAGCCGCAAGATAAAAATATAAATTGTATGTTTACTGTAATAGGATAATAATAATATAAAATTATTATACATTATTATTCCACATTTGTTACCATAATCGGTCACAATAATTTACTAATTATTACTATATATTTTGTTTGTTATATTCGATACCAGTGGTGCTTATAACTTATAAGAATAATAGTTTTATAAATAATTAAAAATGTAATAGGATAATAAGTACATTATTTGAAACTAAATTTATTTTCTTTTCTAATTAGTTTATGACTTGATATAATATTAAATTAATTCATAACGAATCATATATTATTGTTTGCAAAATTCCTTACAAAATTAATCAAAATTAAATGGTTATTGAATTTTTTTTTTTTAGTTTGGGGGGTGTCCAGACACCGTAGCCCCCCCCCCCCCCAACCAATACGCCACTGGGATTATTTATAACTACAACACAATATTGAACATTTATAGATATATATTGTATATACTTGCAATATTAAAATAAATAAATAATTTTTTTTTACGATGTGATATAAAAAACAGAATTTATGATAAGTGTATTATTTTTCGCTGCCCCTCCTGAGAAAAATTTCTGCGGGCGGCCTTGCCTTGAAATGGATTTCTATGTTACCTAACATTAAATATGACTTAGCAAGATTGATATACAAATGCATGAACTCACGAGCCCTGTTCATTAATTATTGCCCGTACACAGTCCACCCATCAAAATATAGGTACCTATACTTAGAATCAATTTTGTTTTCTAATTTACGCATTTCTAAATAAATATTCTGATACACTTCAGTGTAACAATTCTTTAATCTTTAATTGTTATGATAATTTTTGATAACAAATTAGATGTAGTTAACAATATACAATTATTGAAATTATTTTAATTGTGAAAAACTTAAAAAAATTTGAAAATTAGAAATTGTTACACAAAACAAGTTTTTGAAAAAATCCAATTGGTGTTGAAGTAAATAGATAATTCAAAAATAAGTAGCTAAAGAAATTTGAAATTTTTCCAATTATTTTTTTTTAATGAATATTGATATACATTTTTCTAATATTTTTAAAAATTATATGAATTCTCGTATTGCTCGAAAGAGATTATGCTGAATAATGCGGAAGATCCCTGGTGTACGGTATACCAGGGAAAATAAGTAGAAATTTCATTGTATATTATATCATATATAACCATATAGAAAGGCCGAGGTCGAAGAATACTGCGTTTAAACGCAAATGTCGGTTGCCAAACGATCGACCGATAAATTATTATTCTATAAATATTATCAAATAATAATAATAATAATAAATAAAAATCTAATAAAATATACTTATAATTATATGTTTATGATATAATGAATTTAATTATAATATCATGCTTAGAATTAAATTGGCTGACAGACACTTCACCCAGAAATCAGAATCGTTTATATGGATTAAATTAAATGTAGGTATATACCATTAAATTAAAATTAAACACAATCATTACATTGTTACATACAACGACTAACGAAACAAATACTTTATTTATGGTTTTATAACTTATTAAGTCTACGACACTATTGTATATATTAGTACCTACCTTACAGCAGAGTGACTGTCAGAAATGTGTAATTATCTACATAGGTATGTTACGTGGTATACGGTAACTATTAAAACATTGTCTATCTCTGTACAATATATCAGTGAAAGATTAATATCAAACGGAAGAATAAGATGGAGATGATTTTAATATTAATAATATTAAACAAGGTAGTTACCGAGTACGATTTAAGTAAAAACTTATAGTAAAGATTATAGTAAAAACTGAGATTTCTCAAAATGTGTAAATATTTTAATATTTAAAAATTTTCAAATATTTTCATCATTAATCACCAAATATATTTTATAAAATTTTAAAATTAAGAAATATATTCTTAAAAATATAACAAAACTGTACTATAAACTTTTCTTTTTCTTTTTTGTATGTCTTAAAATTAATTTCTTGCTTACTTAGCAATTAATATAATGACTCGCAAAAATATACCAATGCAACACAACTTTCGTACCTTAATAATATAAAATAATATAAATATGTAAGTACGCAATAATCGTTTTATCGTAAGTAAATTGTTAACTATTAAATACTTTGCACTAGCATAATATATTTATTGTGTAACCACTTACCTAGAACTGCATTGTGACGGCTGACATATTAGGTACGTCTCATACTTTTTGGGAATAATCATTGATAGCCAATTATTTATTACAAAACATAATATTATTAATAATTATAACTATAATATAAAAATATTATTTTTATGTGTTTTCGTGTCACAATTTTTATATTTTTTCATTCCGTTGGTAGGGTGGATATAGGCTATTAAAGTTAGGGTGATTTTTAGAGGCCTTTAGGTATTATTTAGTACCGCAGCAATTAGAATTTTTTATTCACTAGGGTAAAACACGTATATATTACACTCATCTTTAATATTTTTGTGAAATCAACAGTGCTAAATTATAAAATAACAGTTGTTTATGTTTAAATAAATAAAACTATATTATTATATATTCATAATCCCAAACAAATATCTTGTAAAATCATTAAAATATTTTCTTAACTATAAACTTTATATTATTAAGCATCGAAAATTTTGTATTATCAAAAAAAAATACCAAACGTATTTTTTTGCAGGGAGAATAATACTACGGTTTCGGTATAAACAATAAATATATACTTCTTCTTCTTGTGGCTTTTATGACTCTCTTAGAGTTTTTGCCGCCAAATAAAATATAATAAATACTAAATTTTAAAATTTTAAATTAATCTAAATATTCAAAAAATATCATTACTTATAAAAAAATAAAAGAATAATAAGTCAAATTTGTAAATCCGCAAAAGTACCTACATGTATTTAAATTACAACAAAACAACTAATATTGTTATTCTTTGTTTATACATCCGATTTGACAAAATTTGAACTTTAAATGTTTATAAAAATATCATACATATGTATTTTTAATATTTTTTAATTTTAAAA